TTTCATGTCGGTTTTTCTGAGCCACCAGTAAGGTCTCGATGAGGATGGGAATCTAGCCCACTGAAGTGTTCAAGTGTCATTCGCTTATTGGCCTTAGATGTGTACCGTAAACACAAATCTGCATGGTTGTTGGTCTGTTCGCCGAGCTTGGCAGTTGGATTGCAAACGTTTCATCACCAATCGAGGTGCGGGGTTGAGTGAGTGAATTCCTCCTCTTCTGCCTGTACTTGTATAGCTTCTAAACAGTATCTGGTAGTTCTGCCGAATATCACAAACGTGGTGGAGATGACTGCACGACATCTACGGCAACGTGGAATTGCAGTCGCCTTCAAGCCTACAAACACGTTGAGAAGAACTCTCTCGAAACCAAAGAGAAGGTTGGATGCTTTGAAGAAGACTAACGTGGTCTACAAACTTGAATGCAACGACCGCGACAAACACTATGTTCGCCAAACGGGAAAAAAACTTGCTACGAGGATACACGAAAACAAGCTTGCCAGCAGAAGACATTACCCAATGTCACTCGTCTCAATTCACGAAGACAGAGAAGGACACAAGTTCAATTGGGACAATGTTCAAATACTTGCTCTCGCAAGAACAAAACGTGAGCGAGAATATGCCGAGGCGTGGTGCTCCACACAAAAATCGATCAATAAACACATCGACATTCACCCAGTCTATCAGCCGTTACGAGCAAAAGAACCACACAGTCACAGGACTCGGAGCCAAGAAACCTAACGGGAACCAAAGGACTAATTGGGTCAAAGGAAGACAATCACTAAAAACAGAAGGCCGATGAATCAACCAATCAATTGAACAAAATCCACACCACAAAACAAGATGGAAACGACCGAATCACAGCAGAACAACCACATACAGAACTGCCGAAATGAATGCACCCAACGAACCAACCAGACACAGGAGGTTGAGACCACGTCAGATTCACAGGGGACCAATCAAACTACACGGTGACCGTTTCCAGAAGCTACATAATCACAGGCAGAAGAGGAGGAATTCACCCACTCAACCCTACACCGACGATGTCACCTCGATTGGTGATGAAACGTTTGCAATCCAACTGCCAAGCTCCGTGAACAGACCAACAACCAAACCGCGCACCCGAGCTAACTACATCCCGTGGGGCAACGAACGTGAAATTCCAACTGAACTTAGCTTAGAAATTCCGCTGCGGAATCTACAGAACCAACTAAGAAATAGCAGATGCGAAAAATTAACTTTGTAAGGAAGATAAATTGTCTCTTTCCCGTGGCGGGACCAGTTGCGTGAACTAACTGCAGATACGTCTTAGGTCTGTATGATGAACAGTGACACTTCCCGCCCTGCGCAGCCTTTATTGGTGCTAGCAACAAACTGTTATTGGTTCGCAGGCATTTACTCAAACGCCAAGTGATGAAGATGCTGGTGGAGAGCGAAGACCCTGAAATATGAAAACTCGCATTTTATTTCAACTGCCCCGAGGAAATCGGTGCTAGTGAAACCGTTTCGGGAAAGGATATCTAAACATATTCACAGAAGCGCCGTCTCGAATGATAGACCGGACATTTTGAAAAAAACATTCGATTGGAACGAAGTAGTGAACCGAAATCGGACGTCCGTAACCAAAGTCCAGTGTGTATGTTCATTGATCCAGAGAGCTCACTTGTTGTACTCTCCGAAGGTTTTGAATCGCTTGTGGCCAGACCGACAATTTTACTCCGGAACGAACACGAAATAGCGACAGAATCGAGCGCTTCTATGGCGATACCTACTTTCAAGAAGAGAGCAAGAATACCCTAGCGAAAAACACCGGTCTGATGTCCAGAGCTTTGCTCTCTGGTTGATCCATCATTTGGAGAGCTAGATTCGTGAGAATCCACATGAGTTCTGCACTGCGGGCTGCATTGGTCATATCTTCATTTTGCGGCAAGTGCTCACTGTGGAGTGTGCCCTATGAGTCATCCTCTTTCAAGGGTTGTGTATGCCGGGTCCCATAGACGCGTCAACCCCAGTGGTGTCAGGCACAGGTGCCCCCTTCTCCTCAACTTCGGAATCGATAGGCTGCTTGGGGTTTTCCATCTGTCTCTATTACCGGAGGGACCGGGTGGCTTGACCACAGAAACCGGGTACGCTGACGATATTGCTCTCCATGGGAAAAAGACACTTTAGAAATCCAAACTACTTTGACTGACCCAAGTGATTCTGCTGCACGGTCCACATGCTCTTCACACTCGGAAGTCGCCATTTGCTAATACAAGGCAGGGCGGGACCAAACGCAAAACTCACGCTTGCATACGAACCGATCTATCATGTTGCTGAGTCTGTCCGATGCTTCTGGTGCTTGTCTATCAAAGGTAGATCTGTCGGTCTTACTTTACGGATCAGAGACATGGCCGTCACGTGCAGGATAACTTCGAAGGGTCTCTGTGTTTCACCATCGGTGTCTCCAAAGCGTCCCGCCGGTCCCGTGGGAACATCGAGTCAGTTTTACTAACGTACCGCCAATAGTTTTCAGGGTCAACTGGTCATACTCCATTGGTTTATGTCGTTAGTTCATATATCCCGTATGCCAGAGGACTTTTTACTTCACGCAACCTTATTTGTCTCACCATGTGTTGGAAGGGCATCAGTCAGGGGTAGTTGGTCCACGAACGAATCATGGAAACTTTTAATTGGTATCTGCCGTCCGCCCGAATGAGTACCTCGAGATGAGACAAACTCCTAGTGACCCTGGCAAACGTAGCGGCTGGATCGACGGTGCATTGGTACACGGTCTATAGCTGGAAAAAAATTTCAAAACCTGTGCAAAACCGGTCGATGAGATTACGAAAATAAGAATATGAACATACCTATTCACTCCATCGAATTGACATGAATTGCATCATTTCGTAGCAATCCCTACAGTAATGGTGTAACACTGAATACTACTGATGAGGCATGCGAGTAGTGTGTTTTCTCGTCTCTTGAAAAGTGAGATCTATTACGGAATTTGTGGAGTCGCATTTGCTTGTATTTAAGTAACATTCAATGAATGTCCAGGAAAGTTCAGGAAGACACGTTCAAGGAGAAGATGGATATTCAGTTTTGTAAAGATGCATACAAGAGTTTTGCTCCCATGCCCAGTGGTCTTTAACTGTTCAGTTGGTGTTTCTCTAATAGACATCTCCACAGCGAAGGCCCTCTTCCTTTCAATGGTATCGCTGGTAAGTTTCCACAAGAGTTTAAAGTTTAACTTGGTCATAATGCCTCCTAGTAATCGCCTCAAGGACTTCACGAAG